ATATATAAGTTGCACTGGAGTATAAGTCACAGGAAACACCCAAACCATGAAAAAAGTATGACTTATATTTCAAAAGATACAGTAAACATTTTTGTGGAATATCATAGCTAAAGAAACAACATTTCCATGAATACAAGCAGGAAGCAGTCACTGTCTGTGGAGAGGCGAGCCCACTCACAATAAGGATGAATGGTTTTATACATTTTTCGGTGCAACAAAAAGAACCCTAATGTTTTGGTATACTTTTTCTGGCTAAATAAAAGTGAAAAAATGCATTGCACACTCAGATGGCCAATGTCAATAAAAGCCTTTGTTTTGATATTTTTTTTAACCACAGTGGTCCAAAGCAAGAAAAATCTGAGTGTGCCACACATTTTTTCACTTTTATTTTGCTGTTCCTTGCATTTGCACCTCTACAAGAACTTTGGTGTGTGTTTTCTGTTTCATTTGATATGTTTTTCTGGCTAAAAAGTAACGTACTGTGGCTGTAAAGGTGCATCGTGTAACTTTGTCTCTATGGAGATGTTATTTCTTTGTTGTATGGCATTAAACTTACTATCTTGCTTTTTTTTTATTGCAGGTGATTCTGTTGCTAAATAATGCCTTTAAAAACAATCCTCATCCAGAAAGTTACATACTGTAGCTTTAAAGGTACAGTATGTAACATAAAATACCACAGAAACTGAATCATGTGAATCGTTTTGTGCAGAATAAAATCAGATTATACTCAGACACTGGGGTCGTTTGGTTAAATTTAATGCAATAAAACTATTAACATACCAAAATCTCCAGGGACAGTTGGGGACTAAACCAGGACCAAACTGGGGCTAAATGAATGTACTGAGAAATGCACAAAGATGTACAGAACCCGAGCCGAAATATGAACTTCGAGGCTGGACATACAACATCCAAATTGGTACTAAATCTGGAACTAAACCAGGACTAAACCTAAAGATTCTAATTACACACACACGACATTAAATCTGGGACTAAACCTGGAACTAAACTTGAACTAGATCATGACCAGCCCAATTTTACAAAACTAAACCAGAAACAAATCAGGACTAAAACAGGATAGTCTCATATACATCTAAACCAAAACACAGACTTGAAACTTTAACGGACTCTACTCCTTTTCTCGTCTACTTGAACAAACTTAGTCCTGCCCCTATAAGCAGCTCTTAAGATCAAAGTATGTCTGCTGTTTAAAAAAAAAAAAAGTTTGTTCATGTTAAAATGTTAATGTTAGCATGCTAGTTGTTGTTAGTTTTACGGTAACGGGAAAAAAATCCTCACTGGCGTCTTAGTATGTGGTTAGGATCCTCTTTAAGGTACAACAGGGATACTTTTGGACCAGTTTAAACAGTGGTGCAGTGGGGATTTTTTAAGAGAGTGTACACAATTTGTGATGTCATCAATGTGACCCCGCCCCCTCAAAATGAATCATGTTATTAACATTAATGCCGTTCAGAATCACCTAAACTGAACTAGGACTAAATCAGGACTAAACCAGGACTGAACCAGGACTAAAACAGGACTAAACCAAGACTAAAACAAGACTAAACCAGGAATAAAACATGACTAAAACAAGACTGAACCAGGACTAAACCAGGACTGAACCAGGATGAAACCAGGCCTAAACCAGGAGTAAAACAGGACTAAACCAAGACTAAAACAAGACTAAAACAGGACTAAACCAGGACTAAACTAGGACCAAAACAGGACTAAACCAGATCTAGAACAGGATTAAACCAGGTTTAAATCAGGACTAAACCAGGACTAATCTTGGACTTGAGAGTGAGAGAGAGAACCTCAAGCGAGTGTCTGTAAAGCGCGATCAGGCGATGGCTGCGCTTAGCTCCGTGGGGCGTGGAGCTCTGCGTCGGCCCTTTCACCTGTGGTCACCTGACGGTCTAAACAGGCGCACCTCCGGACCCGTCCAGACACTCAGACCTGGTTCAGTCCTGGCTCAGTCCTGGTCCCTCATGTCTCAGGTCACTATAGGACAGTAATGCAGATATCATGAGTCTATGCAGGTTGTTTTCACCATTGCCAGTCGCTACGGTTTGACATTTAAGTTGTAGCTTTTTTATATTTGTTATTTTTTTATATCTCACATTGGGCAAAAACCCACGTACCACGCCCACTACACTCCTGAATTTAAAATGAACTAGTTTCGTTTTTCACATTTTTAAGACAGTAAGATTGTATTTGAGTTTCATTGTAAAGCTCATTAGCGGTGTTAAATGTGCACTGAAGGTCCACCTGTTTGTCTCTGCTTAGAATGTTCCACAGTATGACATTAAACAGTTCTACATTACATTTATTCAGTTACAGATGGTTTTATAACTCAAAAATACTTAAAAAGCAGGCGCAACAACTCTACAACACATAAACTGTATCAAATTATAACATTACATCCCTTGGATTTGGGCGCATTTGTCAAACGTTATATTGTATTGGCTCTGACTTCCTGTCTTTGGTGCATTGTAATACGAGACATAGACGTAGACAAAGGCTGCTTGTAGACTGGGGCTTGAGCTGATGAATGATACACTAAGACGAGCGCATTTTTGTATTGAGTAAACAGCTGGCAGACACAACCAGGAAGTAAAAGCACCTGTCAGTCAAAGTCACACTGATAATAAAAGGTACTTATGTGGAGATTTCACTTCAACAAACAAAATGAATGGCCTGGCAATGAGAGGCATAAACCAGACTTAAGATGAATTACATTACTGCAGATGTATAGAACTAAATAAAGAAACAGACGGGGTCACTGAGGTTATAATTAAAGCGCTCGTATTACGCTTTCTTCTGATCTATGTTGTATGTAATGTATTTTGTTTCATTCACACATGTTTAACACACAAATCCTGCATATTTCATACAGGTGTAACAATAACCAAAATATCCTAATATTGTATCGTCAAAAGTCTCTCAATAATACCGTAGGCTGTCACAATATATTGAATCACAAGTTTCTTTGCTTAAATTCATTGTTATGTTGCAGCAATAGCAAAAAAAAAACCAAATTGAACTACATAGACCATGATCCTTTGCTCTGTTTTGGTGCAAACTACATGAAGAAATAACACTTTTAAATCTTAGCTCTTTGAATTCAAGGGCCCATCTCATGCAAAATCAACTTTTCAGAGCTTTCTACATTCTAAGAGTGATGTGTGGGCCTTGTATATGTCGCCGAAGTGTTTTTTAGATTGATTTGGTGTTTTTTTAACAAATTACAGCGTATTTCTGCCACCCTCCCATGTGACAACGAACTAAAGCTGCTACAACGATGATGCGGCAGCTACACCTATGACCCCCCCTACCCCGCTCCACTGCCTCCACCCCGCATCAACTGACAATTCCCACATGAACAACTAAACAAAAGCGACAGTATAGTGTAAGCTCATTGTTCTACACTGCAGTGTGCACGATATAATAAGTTCATCTACTAACGTTTATTAATACTTGTTCAGCTGATGCCAACGCAGGTGCTTGCGCTTCTTGCACCTCAAAGTCCTTGTCCGATTCCAGGTCCAACACATAATGCTGAATGTGCTGTATCGCCATGATGAATAAAAGTTTATTCCTACCACTATCATAGTTCCTGGTCTGTGATGCCTCCAAGAAATCAGTAAGATTTCATAACTATTGTGTAATGGATGTTCCAAAACCCAAATTGTGCTTGTATATGTGCAGAAGATACAATGTGAAAAGAGTTATTTTGCATGAGATGGGCCCTTTAAGTCTTGTCAAGGCATTTTAAGAGAAAAAAAGTATTCACAATTTTAGTAGTAATTGTAGGTAGTTCTGGTGTTACTGAAATTGGTGGTACCGACCATGGTTCAAGTGTAGGCCCAGAATTGGACACTTTTCTTATTAGTTTACATTAAAGGGGCCCGTGTGAGGCTTCTTGCCCCGGGCCCCCAAATTTCTGTCAACGGCCCTGCTGATACTGACACCTAATAAATAAGCAACATGGACTACTCTGGATTAAAGAAGCCAAAACACGGGACCAGTGGCGGAGTTAGTAATTTGGGGGCCTTGAGTTTGGAGCCCTTTTTTTTTGTTTTGAATATCTTTAATGTTTGGTTTTCCCCATTGTCCTTGAGACATGCACATCTCTATTTATGTGAATTATGGAAACTTGTCTTATTAGTTAGGTAGCCTGTTAGATAACAAGTAGTTGTATTTTTGTTGATAGTACAAATACATTTTTGTTTACATCCATTACATATGATTATTACTATTTTTTTCTTCTTCTTATGATTGTTGTTTAATTTAATGTCAAATTGAGAGAAAATTAAATTGCTCTGAGGCTTCGGCCATTTGTGGCACTGAGGGCAATTGTTTGGGGGCCCCTCCAGGTTGAGGGGCCCTAAGCGACCGCCTACTTTTGCCTAATTCTAGCACCGCCTCTGCACCTAATAAATAAACATTGTGGACTACTCTGGACTAAAGAAGCCAAAACACGGCATCAAACCTGGGCTACGATTTAACCAAGACTAAACAAGGATGTAATAAGACTAAAATAAAAGTATAATCATAAATAAGTTAAACCTATGGGAAGCATTAACATGGCTCTGAACCCGAAAGTCTGTGTAGGCCTACAACTGTGATGACAGGTAAAGCATAAGTCAAAGGATCAAAGATATTTCCGCTGTGATGTATGTTACGCTGGTGTGCTTTGAGTCATATTTCCATTTGGTTTTATTACATGCTCTGGTATAGATTGCACATGCCACTACATGAGTTATGGCGCTCTCTCTCTTTGATAAAAGGCTCTAAGGGGGTCACTGACACACATTCGCTTACATTCATTATCCCGTCTGAAAAGAGGGTGTGGTCTGAGAAAGAGGTCACGCCCCCGTCGCGTTGGCCCCGCCCCGCTGCTCTGTGATTGGTGCGCGGCATGTCTTTGAAGTCCCTCCCTCTATCGGTGCGTATGTGTGCGCGCCGAGGCAGTACGCAGCAGTTGCAGAGGGACAGAGCCGCGGACGCGAGAGGACTGCTCCACACTCACCTCCTCTGCGGGATATTCTTCCAACCAGTGGCTTCTTTCGTGATTCACTTAACGTTCGCGGATAACGGATTATGTGGAAAAGGATGTCATTTTTCCAGCTTTAGAGACACTTTGGGTACGACACGGAGGACACGCGTTCCATTTGGATTATTTTGTGTTCTGAGTTTGTCGCCATGCATCGCTGCTCGTAGATGCGATTCAAACCCCGTGGCTTTGAATCCAGATGAGAGATCTCCCCTGCGGATCTGAAGCAGCTGACGCGCTTTTCCGCAGCCTGTCCCCGGAGCGCAGCGCTGAACCAGAGCGGACCGGACCGTGCCTGTCTGCCTCCGCGCCTCCGCTCTCACCCTCGGACCCGTCCCGTCAGGCCAAAAGGTTACCCATTCGGATCGTAAAGATGTTGACGGCGCACAGCGGCCACTTGCTGCACCCGGAGTACCTCCAACCTCTCACGTCCGCGCCCGTCAGTATAGAAGTGAGTACAAACGCGTCAAATCACCATTTTTATGAGTGAAATTCTACGGTGTTTGGAATTTCATGATGATTAATGAGAAAAGGCAAGTGCGCGCCCTGGCAGTACTAAAATTTACGAGAGCATATGCGCCATTTTACGCACTGCGATTCTTTGGCAAGTTTGAGACAAGGGGCAATTTGAATTGTAATAAATACAAATGTAAAAACCACTGGAAGCGAATTTAGTGTAAATTATAAATAATTCCCATTTTTACGATTGTGTTTTGATTAATTTAAATTAAGGTCTATTTCCCATGTACACTTTTTTTCATAATTTCCTTTCAAAATTAGTTGTTACGATATTTGATAGAGATATTATTTGTTCGTTTTTATAGTTTTTTTTTTTTTTTTTTTAATTAGTAAACACCACACTCACACTTGTGCTCTGTTTTGTTTTGCTCTCAGTTGGATGCCAAGAAGAGTCCTCTGGCTCTGCTGGCTCAGACCTGCTCTCAGATTGGCAAACCCGACCCTCCGTCCTCGTCCAAACTGTCCTCTCTGTCCTCGGGCAGCCTGGGAGACAAGGAGTCTTCCAGCCGCTCCAAGAGCGGAGAGCAGCACCACTCTCCGGAGGACAAGTCCAGCTTTAAGCCTTACTCCAAATCCTCGGGCGAGTCTCGGAAGGATGTCATAGTGACAAAGAGCTCTTCTGAGAAGTCCTTCAGGCTCCCAAACGGCAGCAACAACAGCAGCTCTGCTTCATGTCCTTCCTTCCCTCCTCACGCCCGCTCCCCTGGCTCTCACTCTCCCCCTCTGCACGTCCAGAGCCTCAGACAGAGCCAGTCCCCCGCTGCCCGCTCCCCCACACACCCCCAGAGCCAGCACTCTGACCGGACGCCTCCCAGCTCAGAGCAGCCCGCTTCGGACTCTTCCAACAGCAGTGGGGGCAAGAAGGACTCAGACACCTCCAAGTCAGGACTAGACGGAGCGCAGCTGGCCAACTCTAGCCATGTCCGAGCCAGTGCTAACTCCAGCAACGCTAGCTCCGCTAGCAGCCCCCGCCCCGAGAGCAAGTCTGACCCACAGGCCTCCTCTCAGCCTGGGCTTGGCTCAGGACACATCGCCCCTGTCTCCCCCTTCAAACCCGGACACTCGGTCTTCCCCTTGCCCCCGGCGTCTATGGGCTACCACGGCTCTGTTATAGGGGCCTACGCTGGCTATCCTTCTCAATTTGTCCCAAGTTTGGACCCTACCAAGTCTAGTTTGGGCTTAGGACTTCCTGGAAAACACCCCAGCTCCAGTCCACTAACAGGCGCATCCCCTCCCTCCCTAATGCAGGGTCTGTGCCGGGACCCTTACTGCCTCACCTACCCCAACGGCCATCATTTAGGCGGCAGTAACTGTAACTCTTGTGTTCACGACCCTTCCTCCATGAAATCCAGCTTCCCTCTGGTCTACCCCTCGCACCATTTGCACTCCCTCCACTCCGGCGCCCTGTCCTCCAGCAGCACCCCGGGGTCCCTCTCCCACCCGCTCTACACCTACGGCTTCATGCTGCCCAACGACCCCCTGCCCCACGCCTGTAACTGGGTGTCCGTGGGCGGGCCGTGTGACAAGCGTTTTGCCACGTCTGAGGAGTTGCTAGCTCACTTGCGCACCCACACGGCGCTTCCCGGAATGGTGGACAGTAAAATGTTGTCAGCGTATCCGTCTTCGGTGTCATCTTCCGCTTCTTGTCACCTCCACTTGCCCCCGCCGAGCAGCCCGGGCACCCTCCCCAGCTCCTTCTCCTTACGTGGGTCTCCTGGACTTGGCTTGGCGCGCTACCACCCCTACAGCAAGTCCCATCTACCCGCCCCAGGACTGCCAATGCCCTCCATCCCCTCCTCCTCACCATACTACTCCCCGTACGCGTTGTATTCGCAGAGACTCGGTTCGGCGTCCGCGTTGGGATACCAGTGATGCTGATGCTATTCTCACGTCCGCAGTGACTGTTTTCGGACTATCCCGGAGGCTCTTGGGAACAGGGGTCAGCGTGCCGGAGGTCTGCCCGCTCGGAGTAGCACCTGTTGGGATCAGGACTGGGACAAAGGAGGCAGTGATGGATGGTGAGCAGCACAATAAGAAAGACTTGAAAGACTAAAGAGCTTGAAAGTGACACAATGTGGCTTTATCACAGCAAGTCTTCATTTTGTTTTTTGTCTCCCAGAAATGAAAAATCTGTATTTATTTTTTACGCAAGCGCTTGGTTTTCAACTCTGGGGGATTTTTTGTGTTTATTTTCAGACTAAAATTGTTAAAACATAACAATTTTAAATGACAACTCTGCCTACCATACAAGAATAAAAACCTTGCTCCATGCCAAATATGGACTGGTTTCATTTGACGAGTTTCACGCTTTTTTCGATTTACATAATTTTTTCTCTATGCTAAGGCTAACTCTGAGATGCATGTAAACTACAACGCCATTGTTTTTATTTGTATATATGCAAAGATGTAATATTTTTCCAAGCTCATTTTTTGGGGGTCGGGGGTCAACAAAAAGAAATGGTACAAAGATACAAAAAGTATGATATAAATAAAATTAATGATGGCTGTGCTATCTGATAAGAACAAATATTATTTTATTAAATAAACGTTACAATTTACAATGCAATTTTCTGTTTTGATCCTCATTGATTTCTACCATGTTCATTTGGATTGAAGTACAAGGTTCAGTAATTTATACTATTTTATCAAATAATTACTTGATTAGTGCAAAGAAATTCACTGTTTTTATGCTCATTGATTTCTACCAGGTTTTTGGATTGAAGTACACAAAGTCTATAACTATTACTACTACTACTACTAAGGTTGAGTTACTATGAAGTAATTTATACTATAATACTGAATAATTACTTACTTTGGTTAGTGCAAAGAAATTTGCTGTTGTCATTGATTTCTACCAAGTTTTTTTGGATTGAAGTACAAGAAGTCTATATCTACTACTACTACTACTACTACTACTACTAAGGTACAGTTGCTATGAAGTAATTTATACTATAATATTGAATAATTACGTAAATTATTTTAGGTTGTGTAAAGAAATTCACTGTTGTGATCCTCATTGATTCTACCAAGTTTTTTTGAATTGAAGTACAAGAAATGTATAACTTCAAGGTTGAGTTACTATAAAATAATTTACACTATGATATCAAATGATTACAAAACTTATTTTAGTTAGTGTAAAGAAACTTGCTGTTGTGATCCTTACTCATTACTACCAAATTTATTTGGATTGAAGTATAAGAAGTCTATAATTACCACTACTAAGGTACAGTTGCTTTGAAGTAATTTATACTATAATATTGAATAATTACTTAAGATATTTTGGTTAGTGCATTGAAATTCACTATTTTGATCCTCATTGATTTCTACCAAGTTTATTTGGATTGAAGTACAAGAAATATATAACTATAAGGTTAAGGCACAATGAAGTTATTCATACTATAATATTGAATAATTACATAGCTTATTTTATTTAGTGCAAAAAAATAATAAAAAAATTTTGTTGTGATCCTTATTTATTTCTACCAAGTTTATTTGGATTGAAGTACAAGAAGTTAATAACTACTACTACTACTACGACTACTACTACTACTACTGTTCGGTCACTCTGAAGTTATTTATACTCTAATACTGAATAATTATGTAACTTATTTTACTTAGGGCAAAGAAATTCACTGTTTTTCTGCTCATTGATTTTTACCAAGTTTATTTCGATTGGAGTACAAGAAGTCTATAAATACTACTATTGACATTCAGTTGCTATGAAGTAATTTATACTATAATAGTGAATAATTACTTCAGTTATTTTGGTTAGTGCCTTGAAATTCAAAGTTTTTATCTTTTTTTTTTACAGTTTTACTTACACAAGTTATTTTAATTAAACATGCAAGAAGATGTCCCTTATAATTACCCTACCCTATAATGGATATTTCACTCACTATATGATTCAAACCTTACTATTATGTTTTATCCTTATTTACAGAATTCACAATACAATTTATTATTTTTTTGCAACTTTATCGATTTCTCCATAAAACGTCTAAAATGTTAATATCGGGCGTGCACAGTGATGTATGTGTGCAGCGGTGCAGTTAGCAGGCCCATCCATCATTATGACTGGGTTATATGGGGCACTGTGATTTTTCATGGCTCATAGCAGCTGACAGGGCTGTCCCTCCGGAGGTTAGCCCGGGTCACGTTAGCCTGTTAGCAGTTAGCCTCGGAGGACTAGGAGCAGGCTAGTCTACTGGAAAATATAATGAATAAATGAAACGGTCTTAATTAATGACTGACGACTTATAAATGACACCACATAGAATTGTATTTGTAATGTTGACACTGTAGGCCTGTCATTCAAACGCATAATCATAATAGTACTAATGATTTGAACACGTGTGAAGACTTTGTTCCAGTATTTCAATACGATACCAAAATCTGAATGTTATTTATAGACAGTTATTAGTGTAAAAAGTGTCCAAATAGTTTCCCTTGTGGATCAATAAAGTCTGTCTAAGTGTAAGTCTAAGTACCTAGTTCGAGTACAATTTACAGTGCGTAATCAAAATAGTATTTTTGAAGCTGTGTGTAGGTCATGGAAATCCAATAGAAAAGTCATGGAAACTGAAAATGTTATTCTCCAGGCCTGTAAAAGTCATGGAATTTTGTAAAGTCAATGAAAGTTTCTGAAAAGTCATGGAATTTTAGTATCTCTTTCACACAACTCCAGCGTTCTGTTAAGTTCTCATGAGGCTATTATGATTATTTCCGAACGTCTGCGTCTTTTGTTTAAAAATAGACGACAATAAATGCATTGACGGGATTTTGAATGTTAAAAAACTATAATCCCAAACCTTAAGGTGAGTGGAAAGAGTTCACATTTCATATTTAGCCCTAAAAGTCTGATCAGTTCTACACATGTAGGTGCTGTAAAGTCATGGAAACTTCACTTTAGGACATGAAAAAGTCATGGAAAAGTTTTTAAATTTTGTGAGTGGGAACCCTGTGTGTGGTTAAAAATTCATGGAGGGTTTTCAAATCAAATCAAATCAAACTTTATTAATAGAGCGCTTTTCATACAAAAATGCAACACAAAGCGCTTAAATGCAACGCAAAGTGCCTGACGCTTGTTTTGACACTTAAAGCCCTACTGTGTGATATTTCAGCCATAAAAGACAAAAATAGAAAACGTAAGTGTCGTGATTATGAATTTCAAATGCCTTGAAAAATGAAAAGCTACACTAAGACTTGAAATTGAAAGATTAGATAATTAGATGAATAGATGTTTGCTGATAAGGATGTCAAATGATGTCGTGTTCTAAGTTTATTTTTGTAGATCCAGTAATTACAGAAGTATTAACCATTAACAATTTTTTTTTTTTGGCAGAATTTTTGGCAGGCCGTTCCACAAAAGCATTCTTAGCTGCGGTCCAATAAATACAATAACAGTGATTCAAATGAAAGCACGCGAGGCTGCTATCACTGACATGACACAAAACAATACACTACAGTTTCACAAAGACGGTGCGATGTGCAGTAGTTTGATTAGCACGCTGATGGTGTAGTGATAGCGCTCTGAAGGAGGAGTGACTTAACATGGAGAGCAAGAGGAGAGAGTACTTCGAAACTGAAATTTATTACATATTTGAATATGTATTTAATATGTTGTTTTCGGTAAATATAGCATTTTCAAAACTATGAAAGTGATCAAAACATGCATGTGTAAGTAATGAAAACCCCGTAGAAGTGTAATGTAATCCCACTCTTTAAAGGGCCCAGAATTAGGGCTGGGTATCAATAAGAAGTTGCCAATACGATACATACCTCGATACATAGGCTACGATACGATATATATCGCAATATAGTGCACTTTCGGTTCGATACGATATATTTCAAATCGATTCGATACGGTTCAATACAAAATAAAGGCTAAATGATGGCTGTGATATAAAAAAAAAATCTTCTTCTTGTGTACAGTTAATATAAAACACACATTTTAATCATCAAAAACAGTGAAAATATCAAATGTGTAACATAAACAAGTTTCCTTCCACTAAACAAGCAAAAAAACAAATTTTGTGAAATATACCAAAAAATGCTCTGGTGTATCGATACACCAGCCCACGATATTGATACTGTATCATCACATTAAATGATACAATATATCGATATTTCAATATTTTTGCACCGCTCCTACCCATAATACACTGTTTGTCATGTGGTAATACAGGAAGTGCTCCATTATGTTGTAAACTCCATACTCAAAATGCAGGACTGCTGTAAAAGTTCTTTAATAACAAAGAAAGATCTGAAAATCCATAAATCCAAAATATCTAAAATTCAGAACTAAACTGACATGACACGATTAGATATTGACAATGACAAATACAATGGACCAACAAAGGGCAGAGGAGAACACAGGGTATAAATGCACACAGACACAGGTGAAACACATTGGGGCGGGACAGGAAGTAAAACTCCAACTACAAGCAGACAAGGACTAATGTCAAAATAAAACACCAAGGGCACACTACACGACAGGAAAAGATACACCAAAATAACCAAAACTAACAACTACAGAACATGAACCATGACACATACACCTTCACTAGAATGAATTATAATACTGAGTCATTTCAACCCTGGTATTGCCAATTTACTGAGCTAAAGGTAAAAATAGCTGTTAACTTGAAAACTACCGCTTCATTCATGACATCACAGAGCATTTTGAGTTTTGGAGACATAAACCAACTAATAATAAAGGTTTGTCGGCATGGTGGCTGAGTGACTAGCACTTAGGCCTCACAGCAAGAAGGTTCTGGGTTCAATCCTCGTGTCGCCTGGGCTGTTCTGTGTGGAGTTTGCATGTTCTCCCCGTGTCTGGGCACTCCAGTTTCTCCCATCAACCCAAAACATGCACCATAGGTTAAATCAGACATGGACATTGCACAACTCCCACATACGGCCCTTTGGTTGACGCTAAACATATTTTATAATTTTACCTCATGCATGGACTAAAGCTGCATTGCTTTTAATTTAGACGTGTTTTTTAATATTTTTTTTTGTAAGGCAGCTTTACTTTTTCATTGTTTAGTCATTACATAAACTCTTACCAGTTTGAGTAGCTTGTCAAAACAATTATATTTACTGCTTTTTATAAAGAAATACAATGAATATTATGCGGACTGAGTGAAGCATTTTGGTCCTCCACAATATTTTCTGTTTCTGATGTGGTCCCATGGAAAAAATGATAGCCCATCCCTGGGCAGTGTTGGGAGTAACACGTTATAAAAGTAACAAATTACTGTAATGCATTGCTTTTTGGTGTAACGCAGTAATGTAAGGCATTACAGGGAAAAAAATGTTATATTTTACTTGGTACAATGCGTGTTACAATGCTTTTTTAACCTGGACTGAAGTGGTGGGTTTTTCTTCATACAAATTCACTAAAATCACTGCAATATTAGGAGCGGTGAAACGCCGGAGACACGCCCACGTAGACCATCAGGTAACAGCGGGCAAAAGGACCGGCGCAAAAATGCATGCTCAATGGGGCTAAATGTAGCTGACGCCCGATTGCGCTTTGCAGACACCCTGCTCCCACGGGCTCAG